CTTATCATTCAGTAAATGTCTGAGAACTGTTTTTTTCGGCACAAGAGTTCTCCGACTGAGCTGTCGAATTGAAATGGTAGGAGTTTGATTGATGCTTCCTTAGATATTTGCAATTTCTTGTTCATCCAAGCGCAAACCATACCTTGGCCTAGGTGCAATGAAGCTTCTATGCTCTTGTAAATTTCTTTGTAATGTTAGAAAAATAAAAGGATGCGGTTATAATAATAATACTTCATTTTCCAATGAGACAATATTACAAACTGTATAGGAAATTGTCAGAACATAGAACAGAAGAAAAAATACAGAAGATGTAGAAAAGACGATTCAAAGATCAAGACCTATGTCTAGTCATTCTGTCAGCGAATAATAACATTTTTGCATCAAAAAACTGTTTAGCGTCTTTTTGAAAAGAGCAAGATGCTCTGCATTCCTTATGTGGTCAGGAAGTTTATTGAAAATTCTTCTTCCGATGTGCTCAGGTGATCTGGAGGTTACTCTTAGTCTAGCAAATGGTACATGAAATTGATCTCTAATCCTGGTTTTATAGTGATGAACATTTTTATTCACTTCAAAAACTGACCTGGTTTTATATATATACAGACATATTCCTGACATATATATAGATACTAACGTTAACACATTGAAATCTATAAAGAGTGGTTTACAAGATTCTGTGGCCGAGACCTTCGCAATACATCGCAATATGCGTTTTTGGGCAATGAATACATCTTGCGCCATGCTTGAACTACCCCAAAAACAGACACCATACCTAAGTCTGGACTCTACCTGGGAGTAATAAATATTCAGCAGCTGAGTTCTATTCAAAACCGAGCGCAAATTCATAAAAAGAAACTTCAGGGAATTAACCCATTATGACCGGAATTTCTTTTTTTTAACTTTCTGGTTGAAAAATGGTTTGGACGCATTATTGGAGGGTTATTGATGTAGAAATGGAGTATTTATAAAAAAATTATTAGAAAATTTCGAAATACTGCATGTTACACATAAGTAACCCTAGGCTATTCGGTTACAGCTTTAGAGAAATATTTTACATTTCTGCAAACTGGAGGGCTATTTGCCGTTACTATGAAAGATTATATTACATTCAATGCAAAGACCCAAGTCGCACTTTTTGCACATGGTTCTGGTACTTGTAGAGCAGCCTTCTCCAGCACACCGTCGACGTTTCTTGTTCGGAATTGACATCAATAGGTGATCTCTTCTATCATATCTCACTTCATCGGATATTCTATTCAGTGACAAGCTAAATTTGGATGTGGAAGGCCTTCCAGCACTTTTTGGGGTAATTCCATAACGACTCAAATAATTTTGAACCAGGGCTCTACGGAAATCTAGTTGGCTTATTTGATTATTCTTCTTGTAAAGTATCCATGAATTGATAATAGCTGCATCTAGTAGCCAAGTAAAAATGCTCCACCACCACTTCTTCGAACGTATAGCGATCCGATAGGTTGATATACCTTCATCCATCAGATCTGTTCCGCCCATATCACTGTTATATTGGCCAATAAGGAATGGACGAGGAACATTTATGAATTTTTTTTCAGTCTTTGAATATCGTTTCACATATCCAATGGGATTCACACCATAACAGTTAGAACCAGCTGTCACAATATTATTGTCCGCCCATTTTACTATGATGATTCCATGATCTTTGTCGATTGCAGATACATAGCTACCACGATCTTTTTTCTGCATGGTTTTCTTATGAGCAAGTGGACAGCTTTTGGGAACTCTGTTTTCTCTGAAAGTACCACTCCCTCCGTACCCCTTCAGACGTAAGAAATTCAGTAAATCTACGCTCATAAACAAATTATCTAGGCTGAATTTGTATGGATATTCAGGATGTGGCAAGTCTGCTAGCATCGAAACGAATGGCGCAGTACATTTTCCAAAAACTCGTTCATATTCATCAACAGCATTTGGATTCTTGCCTTGATACATATCGAAGTCGACAAGATATCCATCCTTTGCATTCAGGCACCACATTTTATAACCGAAGCGAATTGGTTTTCCCCTTATAAATTGTTTACAACTGTGACGCCCATAATACTTTATCATCGATTCATCAAAGTCTAAGTGTTCTTGAGGTACAAAATACTGCAGACATTTTGCCTTCAGTGAGTTCATCAGGGGTCGTAATTTATACATTTTATCGGTGATATCTATGGAACTGTTATCAGCCAAATGAACGAACCTCATTATCTGAACGAATCTGTCACGTCTCATGGAATCACTCACCATAATATTTCTCATGTCCAATCCACTATCCCAAAAATGCCGTTTACTTGGTTTACGATCATATCCACTCAATATCAATATTGCTATGAATGTTCTCATTTCTTCCGTAGTGATTTGAGGATCGGGACAATTCTTGAACAGTGAATACTTTTGAGTTTCTCTAACAAGTAATTCTATAATATTGTCATCAATAAACATTTCGAACATTTCAACAGGGGATTTTTCAAGAAACTGATTATAGTTTTGTTCCGGAAATATTCGACTGCTGGAAACCTCCAAATCCCCATCTTCCTCCCAGATAATCCTATCTTGAAGGCTGATTTTTTCTGGTAATGAGGTTCTATCGTTACGTATTGCGATATCATCTGAAATTACCTCCTCATTCTCCTGATTATTGGTAGGCAATCTTTCTGAGTTTACAAACTTTATTTCAACTTTACTTCGTAGTTGTCGGCCACTGAGATTATCTAATGCACCTCCACCATCTTCATCGGCTGAGTCTTCATCGGTAAGAGCTGTAGGATCGGGAGGTTCAATGAAAATTTCCTCGATATCATCCAGGTAGGCCATTTCCAATGCCTCTTGCAATGTGAGACCCGCTCTGGAATCAATATAGTACTTCAGTTGAAATGCGAAAATCCAATGATCTGAAAGCCTAGCGTTACTTATATGTAACATCAACAAATGAGAGCCCCTCAACTAGACCAGTTTTGACAAATGTCAAATATTACATATCCATTATCAAAAATACATATTCAAATACCAATATATTCGATTATAACAATGAATGACTGACAAATTCATTTTATATAGTACTTACTCGAAGCGAATGTCGGTCTCATCGTCCATGCTCATGCTCGGCTCCAAAATAATTCACAAAAGCAATACTTTCAGTTGGAATATCACGATGCAACTGAACGTTTTGATAAATCAACTACCGAGGATCAGGTATACAGCGCCATCCAGTGGAAAAGTTCATAAATGTTGCATTTGTGGTAATAAGCAGGAACCTTTACGTGCGTTACATATAAGTAACGCTAGGTCATAATGGGTTAAGCTTGGAAATTAAGTGTTGACAGTGGACATTCCAGTTCAGAAACTTGTCTAGGAAAATACCCAGAAACTTGACACTTTCGTTAGTCTCCAGATATGTTACATTGTCAACCATGAAACTAAATCTTTCTATTTTATTCTGTCTATTATGTATGCGGATAATCTCTGTTTTATCTGAATTGAAAAATAAATCATGATTATTAAAAAAAATTGATATCTGACTAACTGCACTGATACATTTAATTTTCAAAATTCTGGTATCTGAGGCAGAAATAATCAAGGATAAGTCATCAGCATAGGCCGTATAATGACACCCAGCTATTACAGAATCAATATTATTGACATACAAAATAAACAGAATGAGCCCCAAAATGGATCCCTGAGGTACACCCATCTCTATATTTGAAGGCTCTGAATCAATTCTCCGAATTTCATTATTAATGGTTGGCTGAAGGGACACATACTGGCTCCGATTTTTGAGAAATGAAGATATCCAGCTGAGCGAGACACCTCTTAGTCCATACATTTTCAGTTTTGCTAAGAGCTTCTGGTGATTGACACAGTCGAACGCACGGCTTAGATCACAAAAGATTGCTGCCGGACATTCACCTGTTTCAACATTGTTGTTGTCTTTCCCGATATAAATGGTATTGTCTAGCTGTTTCTCTGTTATTTCGATTATTTCTGATGTAACAATTGTTGTACATATAAAATTTTCGGGATTTGTGAACGGCATTGGGTGCCCCGAAATGATTGACTCGTATTTTCTCTTGACGTCTATAGAAATGTCACTTGGCTCCAAGCCTACTCTATGGAAGTTGTGCCAGAACACATAATCTTTATTGTTTCTAGAGTTTAGCGCATAGCCTGATAGACATAAAAACAAAAATTGGAAATTAGTACCCCAAATAGGATAAAACTGTGATTGTGATACATCACTAGAAAGGAAATTTCATGCTGATTTCAAATCTGTGAAAATCTGATATGGCGTCCATGAGAAACATTGAAGTTGTAGGTGATATCTCAGAAATTTGACATTTTGATGGAAAACTGACAAAACCATTTGGAAAGATCACCAAAAAGTGCTATCAGAATGTTGAAGTCATTTTTTCATAAAATCAATAGTTTCCGAGATATTCGAGAAGAACAAAAATACAAGATTTCAGTTTTTCTCAAATAACTCAAGAATGACTAAAGCTAGCCCGGATTCCTCAGTAGATTCTGATTCAACATTAAATTTGCTACAACTTTGCTCATTCAACCGTTTCTCTATCTCTCACAGTCACTGAGATCCCAATGGTGAGGATCGAATTTGGGACACACTGTATAGGTGAAACGACGTCCGAAAGGTGAGAGAGCGTCGCGTTCGACGTCGCCACCGCAGACAGACGAGTCCACAGACTCGAACAGACCTCGGGCGCAATCCACACTGAATCTCGCGCCGCGACCGCATCGCTATCAACGGATCACCATTCGCGGCACCAGTTCGGAATCAAGGAATCAGTGCGTTCGCGTTCGCGGAGCAAGTAGCACGCAGTCCGGTCGTCCAGCCAGCCGAGACGCGAGGTGCGATGTTAGAAGCGCGTGCCGCGACCATTCCCATCGCGTATCGCCACGTGCTCTCCGAAAGGCCCGATGCCAGGATCTAGGGACAGGGAGCGGCAGGGCGACACTATGTCCCAGTCATGGTGAGGACGCTGCTGCTGGGACTACTGGTTGCTACGATTTGCGGCATCGCTGTGGGCTCGCCGGCGGCCGGTTCTGTGCCGGAAGGGCAGCCCTTCCGGCCGGATCCGGGCCAGGAGCGCCAGGAGGAGGAGGACGATCCGGGAGCGCGCAGCGAGAGGAGCACGAATCTGACGGGTACCGCCAGGAAGATCCAGATGTTCATCAAGAACAAGCACCTGCAGATACTGCCGGATGGGACGGTGAACGGTACCACCGACGATACCAGCGCTTACTGTGAGTCGGGGTGTTCATTGGGTGTTTTCGGAAACTTACTCTGGGTCGTTCGAGTCGATCCAGGGAGGTCACGTGACGAAAAACTCGGATCACCTGTTCGTGTTCAACGTTTGCGAACGTGCGTCAGGTTAGGAACACCGAATAATATAATCCTCTTCCAATGGACAAATATTTTCATTTGCTATTTTCAGGGTGTTCCTCAATGATATGCTAATATCCAATGGGCCGATTATTCGACCCATTTCAAGAATTGAACTTCACATGAACGTATCTCGTAAACGTCCTAACTTTTGAAAATATGCGATTCTTTTTTTGTCCACTCTGTATCTCTTCGTGATGGCAAAATTCAGTCTGCCATGTGACTAAGTCGGTGTGAAAATTTCAAAATGTTTATACTGTGGTGTGATTATCCAGGAATGTATGTCCTGAATGAAGTACTCTCATGCAGACATAAAAATTTGAAGTCTGGTCTAGTTTTTCATGTTTTTCTCGAAAACGATGCAAAAATATTCCCGTAACGGTGCCACTGCACTGCCACGGAAAAAATGAAAATTTTTGTACATCATAAAATGCAACTTGATGCATAAAAGACGTGTACGAAATTTTATGTAGATGTATACAATATTATCTCAGATATTATCAAAAAACTGAATATTTTTCAAAACTTCATCATCCTGTATCTCAAAAGTTAAGACTTTCAGGACATACGTGCATATGCAGTTTTCTTCATAAAACGAGTCAATCAATCACCCCCTAAAATATTAGCATACCTTTAGGGAACACCCTGTATACATTTCTTCAACAAATTACGCACCACCAAAAAGTAGCCAGAAGTTTCAGAAATATTTTCGTCAAAAGTAAAGTGTCTGAATTCGACGTTTTTTGTTTTGAATGACAGATTATTTCCTCCAGAACATTAGTGTGCTAACTGTATTCGCATAAAAACTTCCTTTTCATATACATATCGGGTGATTGCATCGTGTTTTTTTTCATGAAATTTGTAATACCCTGTAGAGTGTAATAGTTACAGTCGAGGTTACAGTAATGAGAGTGAATTGAAATCACAGTTTCTCCTTATCTTTTTTCAAACTTTCTTCTTTGGATTCACTTCAATATCTTTCCTATTATTCGAGAACCACCATTGTATAACGTTATATGATTTCATGGAAAATTAATTAAACTGTTAAACGAAAAGGTCAGTAGCGAGTATTGTCGCCGCGGGCCCCTCGGACGGTCTGTACCTGTTGGTCCAGGCTCGGGTGCAGGTCTTCCCAAATTCGAATCATCAGTCTCTGCCGTGCCTTTTCCAAATTATTCAAGTGAAGTTCCTCTTGTAATCTTGTCCCAAGATATCCCAGAGATTCTTAATGGGATTTGAATCCGGGCTCCGAGCTGGCCATGCCATGGTAGCGATACAAACTGCCTCTAGATGATTTCTCACAACTCGGGCGACGTGAAACCTGGCATTATCTTGCATCAACAAAAATCCTCACACTATATATGGTTCTAAAATTACCGATATGTATTTTTCAGCTGTAAGGCTTCCATTTATGATCACAAGTTCTATGCCACCAGTCCGGACCAGTCAAAGAAATGATTTCCCAGACCTTCTACAACTTTCGTGCTTATAAGGCCAATTGAATTCAATAAAATCATATTAAGCTATGAAATTGTGTTTCTGGAGGAATATGGAAGACAATGAAGTGAATCCAAAAAAATAATGTTGAAAAAAGATAAGGCTAAAGTGTTCTTTCAATTTCAACTTGATAACGAAACTGTTACACTACACAGGGTATTACAAATTTCATAAAAAAAACACGCTATAATTGCTACACCCGGTATTCATGAAAAAGCTTCATAGGCGAATACAGTTTGCCGAGCAGTTTGCACACCTATGTTCAGAATGAAATAACATGTCATTCATAACAAAAAACGTCCAGATCGGACGAGTAGTTTAGACGGAAATGATTCCTAAACTTTAAGCTACTTCTAATTTGGAACCTGTCGACTGATTTACAAAAACAGAGATTCCATAATATAGTACTCAACGAGCTCTATCAGAGAATGTGAACAAATTTGAAGTATTAAAATTTTCAAGGCCTATACTTTTGTTTGTAGAAGGAGTCAAAATTACAAAAACGACTTTCAGGCAATTTTTATCGAAACTGTGACTAGCCTATTCGATTCAGGCATAGCTGAAAAAAAAAAACATTCGAAATTTGAACCCAAAATCTTCTATAAGGTGTTAGTTATTCAGTGGCAAATTTTGATATTTTTGATTTTTCGATTCATCCTGTGTCAAAATCTAAGGAGTCGTTATAACCGGTGAAGTAGTCATTCAATGAAGGAACACATCGGATACTCAGATACGAAGCGTCATCGTTGTAACTTCTACAAGAAGATCTCTCTTGGTCAACTAAAAATTAATGAAATTGAAGTTGCACATTTTTCATTATGATCCATATCTATTTTCCTGTAAATATAAATAATAGTTACTTATTCGAGGAAATATTCTCTATACATAACAATTCTCATTGTCATCTCAAACTTCCCTTCTATCTCGCCAAAATAGGTATATTATTTTAGAGATTATTTTGATCACATTGATTATCAGTAAATCTCCTTGCAAGTCTTTGTAGAATGTTCTTCTGTCATTTTATTTGTGTTATATTCGCCAGTTCTTTATCAATCGAGAGTATATTCAAAGTCACTATATGGTGAAGTGTGTGGAAAACGGTTTACTTGAGTTTTTAAAATGGTGAACCTCAACTTTAATTTCATTGATTTTTGATTTACCTATAGAGAAATCTTCCTGTAAAAGTTTCAACTATGAATCCTCCTATCCAAGTATTCAATGTGTTTCTCCATTGAATGACTACTTCACCAGTTATATCGATTCCTTAGATTTTAATACAGGGTGAATCGAAAAATCAAAAATATCAAAATTTGCCATTGAATAACTAACACTCTATATGAGATTCTGCATTCAAATTTCGTATGAGGGTATTTAAGCTATGCCCAAGGCCTCGCCCGAGGCTATGCCTGAATCGATTGAGCTAGTCACTGTTTCAAATGCCTAATAGTCGTTTTCGAAATTTTGACCCATTCAGCAATCGAAAGTATGCCTTGAAAATATGAATATTTCAGATTTGTCCACATTTTCGAATAGAGCTCTTTGAGTACCATATTATGAAATTTTTCGTTTTTGAAAATCGGTTTCAAATTTGAAGGGTGTTGCGTGTTGAAATCGCACACACTGTATATACAAACTTTACACCTACCCAAATCCTCTTCTCTATGGTTTATTAAATCAAATTAGGAAGATCAAGAAGAAAATTCAAATCACCGATCGAAATGTTTCCAACATGCGAACTATTTTATTATCATTGTTGTCGTCGACTGGTATGAACGCTATGAACGTATGAACTCCCGCGTTTTTCGATTGACATGAATTTTGTATATTTTTTCGGTTTGATCAACCTGTGTAAGTTTCCGAAAACAACTAATTGGGTTTTTGCGGGTTTTTGATTTTGTCGCAGTTCGGGTCCGCTACCGGACGAGGTGTCCGAGCTAATTGGAAATGTTTTTTATTTAGCCCGATTTGAACCCACGTGCACCAAGAGTTTTTACGAGAGTTTTTGTTTGTTTGCGGAACTGGTTGGTCGACCATCCAGGAGTTTTCTCTGGTAGTAATTGAAATGACGACCAATCACCTTTTTCTCCTTCAACCCCTTTGGTTCAATTTAGATATGCAAGTAAAGACATTCGTTATCGTCCTTATTTTACCTGTATCTGTGAAAGTTTTGACTCATGAATCAACACTCTTTAGTATAAACAGTCCATGAATTTTCTCATCTGATTTTTATATGTATTCTCGGATGAATAATTTTTTATATCGATAGATATTATTGGTGGCTAAATCAAGAATCACGTTTTTCAAGTGTGAATAATATATTTTTTTTCTGGTCAAACAGTACACAGTAACAATAATAAGTTTGAACTTTCAAGGTCTGAAAAAGATAAAACTGCATGATGAACTGATTCAGGCTTCAATTTTAACTTCATTTATTCGCAAATTCTTGTATACCTATTTCCTCGCCTATTTCGGTTGCAGTCTCGGTTGCAGTTGTTGAGATTCATCTCGAGGTTTATATCTACTGATTAGTAAAATCATGATTCGTGAATTCTTCAATCATCTAATGACTTCAGTGACGATGAAACTGACTTAGTTTGAAAATCGAACTGATGCAAAATTATACCTTGAAATTTTTGTAAATTCCTATTCAATTAAGTACATCCTACAAGTTTTTCTCCTATATATGGTTCATTCAACAAAAATCTAACGAAAATTATACATACATTTTCGCATATGGTTGATGTTACAGAAGGTAATAATAATAATATTAGAGCATACATTATGTGTAGACTTTTTGTTGAAAAAATCTTGGCTCACTTATCATTGGTTTGCACCGATTTAGAATAGTCTCATTAGTTTTTTGCTCGGTTTATTGTTTCACGTAGCGAAATTATCTTCTTGGTACAGGAAGAGGAAATCGTTAACTAAGCCACAATTGCAAGCACATAGGCAATAATGCAAAATTCTATTGTCAATTGAATATGTAACTCTCCCTTAGTGGTTGGTCTATTTCAGGCGAGCTGTCAGCCATAGCTATCCGAGAATAAATATGCATATTGACTGTGAGATAATATAATACGCTTTCAGCGGCTACTCTAGAACGCCAAGTGTAATGAGAAGTGCTATGTAGATAATATCCAGCACCAGAAGTGCATCTACCTATGGGTAAGATGCAGAGACGGGCTTAGAGATCTCGGAGATCTCTATAGAGGGTTTACCCACCCCGAGACCCACCCTATATATAAGAAAGAAAAAATTATATTAT